CAACATCCACACCCGGCTTGACGATTTTTTTTATAGTTTAATTCGATTTGATCCAATCCACTTTTTCCTCAATTCGACTTCTATTCTATTCGGTGCGAGTGTGAGTGCGAATCTTCTCTTCATCCACATCCACACTCTGGGTTTTGCACACACATAAGCTTTTATCTGTCGTAATTATTGATAACAATGTTCAGCTTATCTTCTCGACTATTGCAATCTCTCAAATCTCATCAATAACGCAATGATCATTCTCATGCAGTGCGGGCGTGAGTGTGGATAAATGTTGATCTGGATTTTCATTTCATTCATACCAAGTTCACGCACATCCATTATAGATAAGATCAGTTCAATTTTACATTTCGATTCGACGATCTCACCAAAAATATCCATCATAGCAAAAGTGTTCATATCATGACATTATTTATTAAAAATCAACTCATCAAATTGATACACAAAAATAATCCTTAGAACCATCATTTTTGAGATATCAATGTTATTTTGCTGTTTATTTTGAATAATCTTACAATTCCTTTTCTAAAACAGCAATATTTTGTCGTAGAAGCTTCATCGATGGATGACTTTCTGGTAATGAAATTTCTCCGATTTCCAGCCCGCGTTCAAAATACGAGAGTGAGGTCGAATATTTTCCAATCATGTAATATAGTCGACCAAACTTCATGTAGGTGTCGATAAAGTCAGAATGATTAGGTGGCAAGGATATTTCTTGAATATGAAGTGCTTTTTCATATGATGATAGTGCATCTGAGAACTTTCCCATACGTTGATGCACTTCACCGATGCTATTGTAGGTATCAGCAATTGAAGGATGATTAGGTGGGAGAGATATTTGTTTAATTCGAAGTGCTTTTCGATAGAACGCGATTGCATCAGAATAGTCTTCCATATGAAGCTTTATATTTCCAATATTGCCGTAGGTAATAGCTAGTTCTGGATGATTCGAATGTAAAACTTTTTCGTTGATTTTGAGAGCCTTTTCATAGAACAAGAGTGCATTGTCGAATTGTTCCATATATTGATAAACTCCTCCAATATTATCATAGGTGGTAGCAAGGTTAGGATCGTCAGAACTTAAAATGAGTTCGTTGATTTTAACAGCCTTTTGATAAAACAAAAGTGCATTTAAATAATCTCCCATGAACTTGTAGAATTCTCCAATATTCATGTAATTGATTGCAAGATCAGGATGATTTGAAGGTAAAACTTTTTCGTTGATCTGAAGAGCCTTTTGATAATATGAAAATGCAGTTAAGTGATTTCCAAGTTTCGTATTCAAAAGACCTATGTTGTCGTACGTGATGGCCAAGTCTGGATGATAAGAAGACAGAATTTTTTCTTGAATTTCAAGAGCTTTTTGATAGTACGAGAGTGCATTTTGTAATTTTCCCATTTTGCTATTTGAAACTCCAATCGCGTTGTATAATGAAGCAAGATCAGAATGATTGGGAGATAAAATTTTCTTTAGAATTTGAAGCTCTTTTTCAAAGAAGAAGTCAGCCTCATCATAGCTACCATTCTTAAATTTGATAATGCCGAGATTGTGATACAGATGAACAATTTCTTTCTTATCACTACTATCTATCAAATCGAGTAGGGTTTTGTATAAATCTTCCGCTTGTTTTAGGTCTTCCATTGAAATCATCATTTGACCTAATTTGTCCCAACCTTTGTTCTTTGAAGTTTGTAAACGCATCAATTCAATAAGCAATTCAAGGGAGGAATCATTCACATTCTTTCCAGTCAATTGTATCTGCCAGATATTTTTCTCAGTTTTTGCCATGTCAATGATGTGAAAAACACTGTTCATGGAAAATAAAATTTCATTCTTTGAATTGGATTCATAGCTTAAATGATCCAGCCAGACAAATGGTGTAAGGTTGGAAATGATGGGTTCGATTTCAATTTTAAAGAGGACGGGTAATATTTCCATATTTTGTTGAAGGCTAGAACAAACTTTAATTGCGAATTCTCGTTCGGTACTTGTTAAAAGGAAAGTGTTGAACGACATAGAACCACCTTTGTTTTGTTGTAACTTATTAAAATCACTATGATTAAGTTTTAGACATCGATAAACAGTTAATGGGTTCGGAGACTTTGATTTTTTCGCATGGAGATTTTCTATTTGTTGGCAAATATCTCGCAAAAATAAACCCATTTTGATTAAAACTTTCATATCCATAGTTCGAAGAGCTTGAATGATTATTGAAGATAGGAAACATTCTCTTGTATACCACCAGATAGGTAAATGTTGATCATAGTCTACTTCAAATTCGTTGACAATTTTCAACATGGTTCGATTATTTGCGTAATATTTTCGTAATAGCTGAATCATGTCTTCTTCGTCATGTTCAACGTCGAATAGGATCATTTTGAACATTTGTAAATATTTGAAAAAAGGCTCGATTGCAGCTCGATCCCTACTGAAGATATTCTCCAACGAGGCGATGCTAATTGTAATTGATTCATCATCACACAGCTTCGTTTCATGATATAATGAAGCATAAACTGGCTCAACCTAGGAGAAACATTCGTTGACTATTGGTTTTATATTCACAAAAAAGTACAAACAATGAGTACATATAGTTCTCGAATCATTCTATAATTTATTTCAAATGTATTATTTTAGAAAAGTTTAAGTTACTAAACCTATTGGGCAACTATGGATTAGTGAATTGTGGCATCACAATATAGATTAAGTTTCTAATTGAGCATGCCGTTACATTTTTTAAACTGTCCTCAATTTTACTCCATTTTGTGGAACATGATTGATAATGAGTGTTGAAGTTCTATAGCGATAAATTTGGACCGTTCCTTCTCTTTACAGACTGTGACAGACATTTCGACGTGCCGTTCATTGGACTTTTTTGTGGCCTGTAATCAATACAGTGAAGATCTTTATACAACGTTAAAGCAACTCCGTCGTGTTTTACATTTTAATATCGAAAGGATTACCCTGAAAGCTTTTGTGAAACACGCTCTGAAAGGAGTGTTGAAGTGTATAGAGTAGACATTTTGGACCCACTCTCCCTCCCTCATAGACCGTGACAGAGAACCTCCGGATCCATCACAGATCGTGACGGAGAACCTCTAGAAACCATCACAGACCGTGACAGAGAAACTGTAGTTTTGAAGCATCAAATAAACGGTAAGCTACAAATCTATTTTGAAGAAATGGAACAAAACGATGTCCATTTAATTGGTAACAATAGGTCCATCGTGTTTCGCATTTTTAATCCCGCAAGGAATTGCGCTAACAGCTTTTTAGATTAATTATGATTAATTTAATTACTTTGATTATGGTATTTATTGTACACGATTTACAATACACTCTCATGGCGCTAATATATGCAACGACATTCTTTGGCATTTTCATCTTCGATTTTTACTCTGTAACGAGATCAAATGGTATTTGGTTTTTGTGCATTCAGAATCTAGCAGACTGTATATTAAGGAACATTCAAGGTTCATTGTATAACAGCTACTCAGGTAATCCTATCGATAAATAGATCAGTCGTACTTACTTCTTTATTTTTCTTCTCTGAGAGAAAATTTTCATTTAGCTCACCACGAGCGAATGCACCGATTGTATTAGCAATAAACCAAAAAATGACAATTTTTTTGACAGTCCAAATTGACGATGAATATTTCGTGGGTCGTACATTAATGTCCAATATTGTAATTTTCATATTCATTTCTTCTTTATTTAAATAGAACATATAATTGATAAAATTTTCAACTTCGTATGCAACTTTGATCTCAAATTTATTAATGTTGACAACAGTTATCTTTTTATAACTAACTGTGATGTGTTTCGCAATGTTTTCTTCCTTTCTTACCTTCTTTTTTTCCTTCTTTTTTTCTTTCTTTTTTTCTTTCGTGACGTCCCCTTTTTAAGCAATAAAAGTATCTTCACACCCAAGCTATAGTGAATAATAAAAAAATAACTCAGTTTTCAACATTGCACAATACGTTGGGATAGGAGAAAATGGTAGAACACGTGGAATCGGCATTTTGCTTCACTTTTGCTTAGGATAATAAAATATCATATGATTAAATATTATGAAAAGTCGAAGTGAACACCATGTGTCCTTCCCTTATTCTTTGACCAAGATGAAATAAGCGTTCTACCCTATGTAAATCATCCGTCGAAGACAATTAAAAATTGATTCTTGAACACAGTTTCTCCTTTTTTTTGTTATGCTGAAAGTAAATTCTTTTTTTACAGAGCATACTTGAATAGCTGTTTTTATTTGCGTAGGGAAGATTTGATAAGAGAATGGTGAATGCTACTATTTGTTGACTGCTAGCAGAGTCTTTGTTTCCACTTCTAAGAGTAGAAATTTAATACAAGGGAAATGATGTTGAATGAGCAAGTCTTCAAAATCATGCTGCGACATTTTCGATGCTCTAATGGTGGCAAATTTCGAGACACTGTTGTGCTGAGTTATAGGCATCAATGCTAATGAATAATCTGCAATGTCTTTCATCTATTTGGATAAATTGATTACAATCCAACTCAGACACCGACGATCATATATCGCTGTATTTCGTCGTTTTCCACCATATATTGTGCACAATTTTCACGAAGTTGTTTACGACCTTCGTAGCTCTCAATCCACGAGCATTATCAGAGGTATTCTAGTATGTTTAATGTGGCGTAACAAGCAATCTTGAAAGTAAACGTGTGAGTGTGGATGCCAGTATTACCATTGTCTGAAGCCAAACCCAATAGGACATGTATCTGAAGCAAGCTCCAAAAGTCAACTATACTTCATACGATGAGTAAGTTTTTAATTGACTTGAAGGACATTATGTATAAAGTGTCAAACACACAATAGAATTATCCTCGTACATAGCTACGATAGGAAGTCATGATAAAACTTGAAGAAATAGAATAAGAAATATAGGTTACATAGATGCATGCAAATAGTGAAAAACGGAGAAGCATTTAATCAATGTTTTCAATTAGATGTTTATAGTTGTTAGATAATACTATCATAAGACAGCGGAAAACTATTATTCGGTGAAACATCACCGATTATACTGTCTCTACGCTGTATTCGATTCCCATAGGCATCGGTCGTTTCAATAGCTGTGCCAGCATTCTGGTAAATGATCTGGATTGTCGTTGGACCAGTCTTGGTTTCCGAACGTACTTCGAGAAATTCATTAAGTGCTTCTGCAACTGGTCGATGAGGGTCACAATTCTAGATAGAAACAAAGAACGAAAAAATAAACAATAGTACAATGATGTTTGTAATAGATTCCTATCTACCTTTGGTTTACTACGATGTGTGTTTACAGCTTCAACCGATAGTGGTATGCTTTCCATCATACAACCATAAGCCATTGGTGTCAATTTAATCACTGTATGCAATGGCACTTTGATATAGGGTAGATGTTCTACATTGCAATATATGGATCACATTTGGTGTAATTACTATTCAATAGAACAGAATGCTTTCTACGTACCAGGATCTTTATCAAGAAAATAAGCAAGAATACAACGAGCTACAGCTTGATGACAGATAACAAGTAGATTCTCTGCTCTTTCCAATTCCATAATCACTGGTTCGAGTCGAGCAACAAGATCATGATAAGACTATGTGAAAAACGAGAATATTCTAGTTCAAAAGCTTTTCTAAATAAATCAATATTCAAAACAATGTCATCTAAATATAGGTGCTTTCTACATTTTACAGTGACTAAGAGTCAACTGGTCTATTCTGAATCTTCTCGAACGATGACTTCTAACCTCTAAACATTAACTAAAATGATGAATCATCATAATAACAAACTATGCACTCTAATTTGAGCGAATAGTACTTGATGGATGGAGATTCTTTTATTAACAGATCAGTCTCATATGATGTATGAGTACATTTTATATTTATAGCTAAGAATGAAAATTAGCGATGAAATATACAAGACATGTCTAAATCAATTTGGAGGATACGTATAGATATTTTTCGATAATTTATTTTACAGCTACAAAGTTAAATTTGCCTCAACATTAGAATCAAAATCCCACGCGTATCTATGTAACTAGAAAAATGGCAACTTACTTCTCCACCCGGATATCGATAGTAGTATTTTGATCGATCACGAGCAGCAAACTCTTCAGGATATCGTTCAGCTACTTCTCGGTAGGTCAAACCTTCAAACATACCCTAAATAAATAGCAAAAATTCATTTCTTTTCATTGCTCTCGACTAAATTTTCTTACAGGATTGATTCCATTGAGAGCTTTCAATGGCTCCGTAGGAGCATTGATTTTTGCTGCTGTGCAGATCGCTTGTTGTCTTGCACTTGTCCAAACAATCAAATCCTTGATATTTTCTATTTTGTTTACAAAAAGATCAGTATAAAAACAATACTCTAGAAAGTCTTACCATTTGCGATGTATTGGGCAAGAGCCTCGGTATACTACAATAATCAATTAATCCAAACAATGACAAATATAAAAAAATAATGATAATCAATACCGTTATACCAGCTGGTGATAATGGTGAATCGCCTCCAATACGTTGTTGAACATTCATTTCCGATTCACCATGCTAAACAATATCAAAATAAGTCATTTTTCTTCAGTTCAGAAAATCTATTAACTTACTCTAGTAAGATAGATAGTTCTTTGAAGAACATGCATATTCATAAGAAAATAAACAACACGACTTTGGATAGTACCTAGAATATACACAATAAAAATGAAATGTTTATTTATGAACATATTATACTTACCACGAATCTTATGAACAAGAAATCGTTCACCACAATTATAAATTTTGATAAATGAATAATGTTTTTCTGTTATCTTATCATCAATAGGTTCATATTGTTTAACATAAAGTTCAATACGTAAAAGAAAATCTTCAACTGCTTCTTCTTCTGATACATTTTTATAATCAGGACTTTTAAGTTTCACTTCCTATCATGTTCAAACAATCTTTATCAATGAAAAACAATAAAGTTCATTTCACTTTCATACTCGAATATTTGCTTGAATAACTTCTGGAGAATTACAAATTGATTCGACAAAAAATACACGAAAACAACATACTTCTGTACAATAATTATATATTGTACGGCGTCGTTCACGAGTCGTATTTGTTGCATCAAATATGGCTACTTCACCTTGATTCTGAAGATAATTACACATATCTTCCAATGCATTCTGAGCACATAAGCTATATGAATGAATCAAATTGATATTTATCACAATGAACTTCTATGAAATAAAAATAAATAAATACATACTTTCGTATAGCTACTGCTTCAGTATTATCCGGATTGAAAAACTCGTTGCCTGTATATACTTTCACAGCATCACGACGATAATCACCAACATTGAATACTATAAAGACAAAAGAGTAATCCTTATCCAATATGAAGAGTTTCTTTCGGAGGAATTTGATTAAAGAAAAATTGTTAAAAACGATAATTAGCATGTTAGTCATTCTAATCTCTCAGGAAATTATTGATATTTTAATTAGATGCCAAAGTATCTAGTGCAATATCATTTTTCAATGAAAATCCTTCAACGATGTTCTCAGTGTTCATCTGAACTCATAGATCTAGTTTTATTTATGTGTACATGTTGATGGCGACATCATGCATCGTGAATTGAGAAATTTATGAAAGAATTCGAAGAGCTCTAAAATGATTGTCTGATGATAGTCTTTTGACATGCATAAGAAAACATGTGGTTTCAAAAGAATGGTAAACAAGAAGTCCAAGTCATGAAAAAAGAAAGAGAGAAAAGTTTATGAATCTATTAAGCTGTTATCTCAATTGCGTTTTATCAATAGAATAAGTCAAAGTCATCAGTTTTTTTCGTTTGCTAATTCATTATTATTATTAGTTTTTCAGAAGAAGTTTAAAACAAACCTTTTGTTTTTATTCCAATCCAATGCAAATATCGAGCTAATTTTCGAGCCATGTATGTCTAAAATATAATAGGATTCAAAATTTTCTATTTCTAAAAAATCCAAGAATAGTCTTACTTTGCCACGTGCTGGTAAACCTACCATCATCTTGAAAATGATATTTTTCAAATAAAATGTAAATGAACTAGAAACTTGAACTTACAATGACCGTTGGTGTTTGTACGAGCCGATCGCGACAAGCTAAAATCGGAAAATAAAACGAAAAAGTCATAGTGACTCAACAAAAAAAAAATCACAAAGTCTCTCTGTCTATGTACAGGGTGCTCAAAAGGCTGTGTGGAAAATAAATCCATATACCACCACCACTTGTTAAAGTCAATCAACTAATTTTTTTTCAAATGATTAGGTATCACTGTGAAGTATTTATTGATACGGACAAAGTTCACAAATACCCTTCGAATTTATTACTTTCAACTAAAATGTAAAAATTAATCGTATTGTGATTTTCAAAAAAGCCACTACACAATGCTTTTTGCCTTTTAATACTCCAAATTTTTGCGCTTTTCATGGCGTTTAGATCGATCAGACATTGCGCTATCGTATATATGCATTTGTTTTGATATGTCACTATAAAAAAGCCTACTGGAGTAAAGCTCGGTCATCACGAAGCTTCTGAGATCCCTTTATGTTTCCAAATGATGACTGGTGAACTGTAGGAAGTATCTCGATCTTATGAGCTTCGTGATCACCAGATTTGACACCATTAGACTTTTTTTTTTTAGTGACCTATCAAAACAAATGCATCGCAACAATAGCGCAAAATCTCGTCGACCTAAATGCCATGAAAAACGCAAAAATTTGGAACATTTACGGACAAAAAATACTGCGTAGTGACTTTTTTGGAGATCAAAATACGACGGATTTTTGCATTTTAGTTGAAAGTAATAACTTTGAACAGTATTTCTGAAGGTTATCCGCATCAATAAAAACTTCACAGTGATGCCTATTATTTGAAAAAAATTGGTTGATTAAGTTTGATAAATGATGGAGTTATACGAATTTGCTTTCCGTACGGACCGTTGGGACATCCTATACTATATAAGTCCTCATATTTGTATTGAAATGGATGGATTGGTAACGATCTTTTCAACCTCACTAATAAGAAAGTGTTTGTACATTCATATATGTGAAATATGCATTTTCAATTCAAACGATAGATATAAGAACAGAAGCAGAGAGGTTCTATCGGTCCAAATAACAATATTCTAATCTCCTTACCTTGACTCATTTGTTTGAACACGCCAGGATTACGTCGATTTACAATCGAATGATCATTTCGCCATGCATGTATATTGTTGTTGAGGGCTTTCGCTTGGTGCATCTTTTTGCGACGCTGCTTTGCATCAACGAGGCGGCCAGTTTTTGGTTCTTCTCGTCCTTTGGTATCAAGTTTATTTTCCATTTTTTCGGATTTTTCCATATCGGACAATTTCGACTGATTTATACTATTTGCTAAAAGTAGTCATAAAATCGTGATTCATCAAATTTCATAATGATTCTAGTAATGAAAAATAATTTCTCATAATCGTCAATAAATCCGAACGATTTATCGTGATTTAATCAGTTAGCTTAATCGTAGATTCGGTATATGATGAGTGATGCAAAACTTTGAGTATCATGCAAAATAACGAAAAACATAACCGATAAAGGCTTTTGTTTATGTAAATGTGCACATCATACATGAGACAAGTTTCAATTTTCGCTATAATTGTCACTAATGTGTCATACATGACATGTGAATGTTTATTGAGAGAAAACAAACTCGGTGGTTCACTTCTATTCATTGCAGCTCGTTCGATTGCAACAGCAACTGCCTTGTCTCACTTCTCTAGTCGCTTAGAACTTCATTGGTACGGGAAGTTTGTCATCACCATAAGAAATCAGTACTTAGAATCAGGTTTATAATCGTTGTAAACTGTCGTGTTATACTGTCCATAGTAGTTTACAATTTGTCTCGATTCTGATGAGTATTTGTATGTTTTTGTATTAGTAATCTGCTCTGTATTTCATTTGTTGATGTCAAACAGCATATGTGCTCAATCTTCTGATCGAATTATAGAGTAGGACAAATGATTACAATGAAGATGTCTAGTGAAAAAAATTTTATCATTTGTATTGTCAGAAAAAATTGGCCATGGATCGCGATTTCGAGAGCATGAGTTTTATGTTATGACCTTTGGAGGTATAATTAACTGAGGAATGAATAGGAGATTTAAGATTGATCATGTTTTGAGGTTATGTTGTGATAATCAATGAGCATTATGACTACGTTCTCTTATCTTCATCATTTCACGCAAACTCAAAAATGATTTTCAGCATAGTGATCGTTCTTATAGAAGCCTACACACTATAAATACTATACTCGAATTGTTTATTTTTATATAGTCTTTCATATTCAATAAAAATGTTTTGAAAAGACTCCAAATGGTTAGAACATGTTTATTTAACTGCATCGGAATTACCAATGACGGATGAGCAGAAGAGAAAAACTGTCATGGTAGATATGCATACGATCACATGCTGCACCCACAAGAAGCCCGGACTTACGGTTCGCGTATATTAACTGTACATGTCGGCTAGGAAATCGAGTAGCATTTGATATATTTCTCCCAAAGAATCATGTTAATTTTCTCATGTTAAAAAAAAATCGTTATTGTTATCGACACTGTAAAATAGAAAATAAGTTATAGAGAAAAGAAAAGGATATTCTAGAAAATGTCCATACAAATTCAACAATGATTTTTCATTTTCTTGAAAATACAATATTTAGGGAAGTTCGAAATTCAACTTCTAGTTTTTCAGGTTAGGAAAAATCACTACCTTATTTATATGAGCATTTCTACAATGTCGAACTCGATTTAGCATGCGGAACATTTTTCAGAAAACTAAATGTCTATTATCACTTGTTATTTTTACAATAAACTATTCTTCCACCTCCATACCCATTTTACTGATAATCTTAACTCTACTTATAGATCGAAAGCGTATATACAATTAAGGAAAAAAAACCAAGCGGTATTGGACATATTCTACTTTGAAAATATCAAAATGAAACATAATTATTTTACAAAGGTTTTCGTGTACACGCATATATTGAAAGGAGGCTGATTTTATACAAAACTAACATCATAGTTACTATGGAATTGCTCTTACGTACTTGGTCAAATATGCAGAAGTTCTGACGAATATGTAATTATAAGAAATGAATACTTGTGTTCCAAAAAAAAAACTTCTTACAGAGAACAATCAATTTTAAATGTAAAGACGATATATGAGGGACAACTTCTAGTTCCATAATATTAAAAACATGAGAAATATCAGAAATGCTTTTCTACAAAATTAAAATTAACGTTTAAACATCTTTAAAAATTGGTGCGAATTTTTCGATTCGTTCAGAAGTATTTTTTTGTCAGAAAATCGAATTGAAATTCTACTTTACGAAAAACCAAGCATTTCTGAAAATCATGAAATCATTCGATGATTAATAACAATTTGAAAATATTTGAGTTTTTGCTAACTCGATTTTCGAGAGAGAGAGAGAAGAATTTATTTAAAATTTACAGTCTATATTTTCCAATGAGAAATTCAATGACAATTTACAAGCAAAAAAAATAGCCAAAGTCAAAAGAAACTTTCACTGCTTACGTGTTGGTAACAGACTGTCTGTCATTTTCTTGTCGACATCTTTCTGAGTCGATGAAATCAAGTTTTCACTCATATCGCAGTTTACTTGTGCAAGAAAGGAATGTTGCTATATTGTCTTCGTAAAACGTACAAGCTCTATTGACGTAAATAAGCAAATGTTTGGAGAATCTCATACGCTCTTGACTAGCATTTTTTTTTTCTCTGACCCGTTTCGGGATAAGATTCTACCATCCATAAGAGAAATTCTGCTTCTTGTCTCTTCTTTCTATCGTCGATAATAAATATAATACGGATGGCATGTATCGATATTTTAGAAGTAATTGCTTGATGAAAAGTTTTGTTTTTTCGTTGTGCCCGAGTATTGTTATAAATTGAAATCAAGCAGTTTAAAATTAACATTTTTTATCTTTTGTAAAATATTCAGATTAAATTTTCTGGATCATCTCAGTAATTATTTAATAATATTATTATGATTATTTTTTGTTTTTGTGATACCCAAATAGTTTCTAGCAATTTTATAGATTTTTTCATTTATTGAATGTTTTTTGAAAGAAATATCACTACTTTGTCTGTATTTCTAGATCATCTCGAAAAAAAATCAGAAAAACTCTTCAAAAAAAAAAACGTCGATATTTTTCCATCCAGAAGAAAAAACAATCAACTGTATAACCTTTTTCTTGCACAGAAAGAAAAAGACAAAAAAAACGCGTCGCTTTCTGCTGTAACATTAATCATATCAAGTATAACGCTTACTCAGAATAATAGTCAATACATTATAAACGTCTCCTTCTCGTCCTGTCAGAAAAACAAAATGGATAGAACGGTTGATTATGCCGAGCAGCTCCGTCTATTTATGTCAGTGATGCCCTCTCTGGGTACAAGAATAATCGATTAGTTGTTAGGTTTGTATACTGAATTCACGCCGCGGATGTATGGGTCTTTTTATTATCTACACCCATACATGAGAATAACTCTTCGATTTCGATTGAAATTTATATTTCAGATATAATGTTAATAGTCACTCGTAGATTTTCTAATTACTTTTTTCAAAAATAAGATTTGAGACTATTTTTTTTTTATATGTAAAAGAATCTATTTCATTTAGTGTGACTCTTAGATGAATTAAGGGTTCAGCTTCTGTAATAACACGTTATGATGTGACACTATTAAATTACACATAATGTGATTTTACCTTAACATAATACAATCAAATGAATAGCTCTTAATGTTATAAATTCATTGATGAATGTAACTGATAACTATAAAACACAACTCGTCTACCGACTATTTCTACGATCTAGAAAAAAATTGAGTATCTCCAAAAATAATATATGTTTGTGGAAAAACCATTATAATTGAATGCATATCAAATAAAAGAACACAGAAAAAATGATAATAAATATTTCTTGATTAGTTTTACATATAATTTTTATTTTCGAAAAGTATTTCTTCTCTTCATTCATTACTATTTTGTGAGGAATTTGTCAATCGTAATGTAACATTTAACTTTTACGTAATACTTTAATTCTGTTCCGATTGCTCGATATTTATTTGACTTAGATGATTTTCATTGACCATCAATTCTTTTATGTAATCCCTTCAAAATAATATATGCATATTTCAAGCTAATGCTCTTATTAATTTTAATTGTTTGAATATCATTTTTATTCATATAAAACATAGATATGTTGGTTATATCTTTACATCTATATTTTGATCGATAACATAGAAATTCGTATTTTCTTTGATCAAAATATATTTTATTTAAATTAACTTTACACCAAGCTTTTAAAAATTTGTTCATAGATTATTTTGTTTTTAAATATTAATATATTGTTATTGTCATTACAACATTTTGTTTAATACGATGATTTGATAGTTTAATAAAAATGTTTTTAATTGATATGTTTTTTTTTCAAAATCAGATAGTATGTTTTAATACGTTCTTGAAAAGAGATAGACTTTACTGTCATCGAATTCGGTATGAGTTTTAATTCATTAAGAAATAATCGAGCGATCGTTTTGAATTTCTTGTTCGATAAATTTCAAAGCTTCGTGGATATTCATTCGAATATGAATAGTATTATTCATATCGAAATTATTTTTGACATAATGAACATAATCTTTGTTCATTAGATCTATCACAATTATCAAATTAGAACATTCAAAGACAATTTGAACAATAACGATTAATATAATAATTAAATTTGTTGATTTACTTGTTGTTCATTTGCAATAGGGATATATCAGTTAGAGAATTGAATAGTTTAAAATGTTCTGTGTAATTTGTTGGCATTTTGCAATTTTCATCGTAGAGAAGAAAACCAATTAATTAATTCTTCTTTAACAGTATCTTCAATCAATTTAATGAATCGATTATCTGATAAAATATTTTTCGTGTAAGATTGTGAATAATAAATAAATAAATTAAATAATAAAACGACATGATGAATCTTATTTTACAATATATTCTTTGATTAGATCTCTTCGTTGATCACTACTAGAAGTTGATGTATGTGATCAATACACAGAGACTTATCATAATATTCAAAGAGAGGCGTTGGTATAATAACATTATGTAGAGTATCTAGTGTTCATTGATTAAGTAGTTGAGTTATCATTGAAATAATTCAATCTACGTTTCTATTGCGAAGAGTGTTGATGTGGGTTTTCTCTCTTTCTTTAGAATCACACTCACACCCATATTCAAGAGCGGATTGAATTCATGCTGCTGTATCGCATACGTACAAACTGACACTAGTTCTGTTGATAGCTAGTTTATTTTCGTCAATTATTCGAAAGAAAAGTAGTTAGAATAATTTAAAGTTTTACAACTATGAAATCCAAAAATTATATAATCAAATACATTTCTCACGTATGGTGTAGAAAAATCTCGATTTTACTTTTTGAAATTTTATTATTCGACCGAAAAGATCTATAGAAGATATGAAGAAAACATAATAATTGATTGATGCATTGTGTTTCTTATATATGAATTCTATCGGGATATTATCGATGATCGGTGATATTTGATGATTGTTCCAGCCAAATGTAAAGTGAAGATATACTTTTTCTATATGTAAAATCAATGTTTTCCTTAGTCAACCAATCAATAATTTCCATAAACCGATCAATTTGATCGGATGATATAATAGTTAGACTTGATAAGCTCTGCAATCGCATTAAAATCATTCGCAGATCATTGGCATTGACGAAATTTGTTTGAAAGTGTTTCACCTGACTTGGAAGAATTGAATATAAATTTTTTACATTAGAAATACAGATATAACGAGACCATTGATCTATGATAGATAGCGAATTAATTTGTGATGTTTGTTCGAATAATAAGGTAAGCATGTTTATCGTTTCCTGCTTGAATAGTTGATTGAAATCGAGTGTTAATATGAGTTCATCAAGTTTTGCTAGATCAACAACGAATCGAAGAAGTTCTAGAGTATTCACGGATCCCTGATTGTTAATATGAAAACTGAGCTTTGTCACTTTTGGAAATAGGAGCTCGTTCGATTGTTCAGTCTATGAAAAAAATAAGTAGAAAAAGAAAAGACTTAATTTGTCAATTTCAACTAAAATGATTTTTCTCGTCAAATCAAAATTCAACTTTTGCATCAGTTTATCCTCTCCTATGAGAATAACTTCTATCACTACATGAATTTCATATAGATATTCATGATAGAGTACTCACCATAGCGATAAGATTGGTGGCTTTCAATGATAAATGACACACACTATTCCTTAGAGACGATTGGCTATATATGGTAGTCGATGTGGAGAATGAGATTTCGTTAGGATCGTACTCGACATTATGTTGAAACATCGGTATTGAATAGAGTTGCAATGATGACCGATTTTTGATATAAGTACAAGTCACAAACCAACGTTTGTTTTCGAGCCAGAAATATGTTCGATAGGATTCAAGTAATGATTGAAGTTTCTTCGAGATTGAATTCAAATGTGTAACACTTATAAGATCGAATTCAAATCTTTCTAAGAATGGTAAATTTGTTTGAATAAAACCTTCCCACCGTTGTCCATCAAAGACATCATCCGTAGTATTCACTTTGCCTACTAATTGAAGATGAACAATCGATGGCGTTAGCAATAAAATACTCTCAAGGTCATCCATATTCATAAAACGACTCTTGATGGTCAAGAACGTCATGGAATGACAGCAGGACATTGTAACACATCTATCGGAATCGATCATATTCATATTCTGCAAGACACATGTTCGCAAACAAGGTGAATGTTGAAGAATATCACAATATTGATTGATAGTGATACTATTATGGATGATCAGTCGTTGTAAAGTTGATTGCATAGGCCATGATACTTTGTTCATTGTATCATACCAGATGTTCAGATTGAGAGTATGCAAAGTGGCTTGATGAATAATTACTGATAGATTTATTTGTACTGAATCATTCCGATCAATATGATAGTTTTCTTTGCTTATCGCGAGTGAACGAAGGAACGAAATAGGAAGATGTGTCAATATTATGGACAACTCGGATTTTCCAATTTCGTGAACTGTCAATGAGCGAAGTCGAGTGAAACGATGAATCTCAAGGAGAGAAAGAAATAAACGGATTTGACCGGGAGTATGATGACCATCGGATAGAATGAGTGAAATAACACTAGTAGGATCAACGAGACGACACATTAATTGAAAACGAGACTTGGTCGTGGATGTAAAATTCAATGTATATCGTGAATAGGTATGTGCAATATGGTAGAATTCTTTGCAGACACAACGTAGCACCAGAAGAATCGTTTCGGTATTCAGATAATCTAGGATACGATGTAAAAGTTCTACTGGTAGTGTGAGAATCCATGGAACTGATTCCGTAGACATTTGCTTGCTACTTGCCTTGTGGTTGCGCAATTTCTCGTTGTGAGCTGCACCTCGTGGCTGAAATGTAAAATGATGAAAAAGCAGATTTTTCTTTCTATTTTCTTGATATGTAAGAAAAAAATGACGGCAGATAGAAGTACTCTAGACAGAAC